ATGGACATTTTTGTCTCCTTTGCCAATCCATGCATTTGCTTTGGTATCTTACCAAACAAAGACCCAAACTTTGTCCTCAAGTGATTCCAACTCCTAGCAACCTTATAGGACCGAGTAGAACTTCTCCATTGGGTTTCCAAGGCTATCCATTTATATGGAAGCAAAAGGTGCATCCGTCTCCCTGAGAAGTGGCTGGTGGCTTTAAACTATTTACCTTTCGATCAGTAGGCAAGATTTAATGACTTCACTACTAGGGTTCCTTTGCTGTTTCACAATGACTTGCAAAATGTCTTCTACAACCATGGATACTACAAAAATTAAGTTTAAAATATCAACATTTTTATTATTTCCCTGATTTGACATTGTGTGATTGTACGTTATTACCCAACTCATCTATTTAACAAAATATTTTGGAAATTATTTCTTAAATCACTTTCACATGAGAAAATAGTCTTATTTTTAACATTATCTTATTACAGGTGATTATTTTGTCATGACTATATATTTTGAACTAAGTAGAAGAATGGGATACTTCACTATTCAGACATACATTCCCTGTATACTGACTGTGGTACTTTCTTGGGTGTCATTTTGGATCAAAAAAGATGCAACACCAGCAAGAACAGCATTAGGTGAGTTTGAGTTTCCAAATACTTTTACTAAATACATTTTGTGCAATTTTAATATAGCAATATCTTTAATGCCTTCAGTTAAAGGCACTCTGTTAAAATGTAGCTGATCTGAATTAAGGATTACATCACCCATATTTAGAACTTTCTTTTTAAAATCCATCCAGTTAGCTTGCCTTTCTGATGATTGAATTAATATGGGATAAAGGTTTCAGAATAAATAATTCCTTCATCTGATACTATGTTGTAGGGTTAATGTCATCACACAAATATAAACAATTCCAGGAACTTGCTATGTTTAAAATCATGTGTTACATTATGTTAGTGTAAGGACTCAACATATACAACATGCCTATTAGGACTGAAGGTACAATATTGGTTTTAAACGAACAAACAAAAAAAGGCACTGTGTCATTGAGTGGATTCAAACTCATAACAACCCTGGAAGACAGAGTAGAACTACTCAATAGAACTGCAAAGCAATGTGTTTTTTGTTGGTTTTTTTTTTTTCCAAAACAAGTAGTACCATTTTTATGGGTCCAAATGTGAGGAAATGTTTTAACAATTCAATCTACTTTCAGGCATTTTTGGTTTTTCGGACTTGATCCTTTTGAACAGTTTACAGAACAAATTACAATTTAGAACAGTTAACAGAAAGATTGAGCAGTTGGTACAGAGAAGCTGTATATAATCCCCTTCCCTGTGCGTGGTTTCCACTATTATTAGCATCTCACCTTGATGTGGTACATTTGTTACAATTTGTAAGCCAATGCAAACACATTATTATGAACTAAATTCCATATTTTACATTAAGATTCACTCTTAAGATGTCACTTTGAAAAAAAAAAAGATGTCACTTTGATGAATAAGGTGTTTCTTATCCAAATTAGGGTCTTTTTAATTGGCTCATGGGGTAAGCATTGGGCTGCTAACCACAAAGGTGGTGGTTCAAACCCACCAGTTGCTGTGCAAGAGAAAAATGAGGCTGTCTGCTTCTATAAATAAATCTGTGAGACCTAAGGAGAAATTCTATTCTGTCCTACAGGATCACTCTAGGTCTTTTTAAATTTTTATTTTAATTGGGAGTGAATACATAAATCATCTCATTTTATAGTTCAATCATATCAAGCAGTGTTGTACAATAACTACCAAAAGCAGTTTCCATTCTTTTCTCTTTTTCCCCCTGGACTCCTGGACATCATCTTTCTTTAACCCCGCGGTTCTCAACCT